TGCGCCTGTTTCCGCAGAGGGCCATTCTTAGGTCACACGTTGTATTTGTTAGACGGCCAGTTTCAAAACAAACAGACGCATTTTGTTCCCCTCTAGTTGGAGGACGCAATCTCAGTTTTCTCCCCCTTAAAACTACAGTTGTCTGGAATTGAGGCTTTGACTCAGGTTTATTCCGGACGCTGGGTTTGTTGCACGTCAAATTTGTCAGAACAGAACACGCAGCGCGTGATTTTCATTTAACAGACGTTTAGTGGCATTGGGGCATATCGGAGGCTGGCCCAAATATTTCCAAATAGCCGTAAACCAGGCTCCGTTGGAATTTTGCCGAGTATCATTGTGACAGTTCGACCCGTGCTCTCGCCCTCTTTGGAACTCGGGCAATTTGGCTGGATTACACAAGATAGTATTGATGAGACTTGATTAGATTAGGTGTAAACGTAGGGTGTGCTTTGTCCTGACGACTACCGCCACGTGCACTAAAGCGAGAAATAACTTTGATACTCAGAGTGACGTTCCCTACAGTATTGGATGTGTTGCCCATTTCAAACCACCTTGAGGTGGCAGAATCAAACGGAAAACCGTTTTGCAACCGAAACGTCAATCACATCATTTTGACACAAAATAATTCCGAAGAGACCGCCAAATTTTATTTTAAAAATACACAGGTGGGCTGAAAGGAAAAGTGTAAAGGCATTTAGACTCGGTACTGAATTTAGAGCAGGACCTAACTTGTTGTGAGTAATCACCTTGTTCTTGTCTAGTACAAAGGTACGATTTGTGTTAAAGCAGGTTGAATGGTGTACTTAAACTGGTCCGTTAGTATCTTGTTTGATTGCGCCAGATAGTCAGAAAAACCAATTTTGCCAAGTTTAAAAATCTTTCGTATCCAGTTACACTTAATTGCATCCTTCCTTCTGTTACTTGCAACGTGTACCATTTAGTTTTGGGTCGGTTATCCATAAAATCGAATTGAATCGCTTACCTTTGGATACATTTCTTAGAAATCTCCAAAACTCTGCATCAAGTACGTAATGAATCACATTATATGGTTTTAGCCGATCATATCTTTACTAAGGAAATATGTCAGTCATCGGTCTATCGTTTGGTGGCACGTACCAAAACTGTCTGTATGAGTTGTCCCCAGTTTTTCATCGCACAGATGGCATTAGTCCATCACAAAAAGTGAGTTGCTCGAGAAATACACTCATTTGTAAATCAATTTGTTTTTTTCCCGAGAGACTCAACCGATTCTCTCGTTTACGTCAATCTACAATTCACTGTGCTGCACACAGGCCGTCTCATATTTCAGTTGGCACAACAACTTTCCTTTGAAGAGTTTTCAGCAACCTTGTGAGTATTTTCATTTATGAAAATATACTGCGATGTCTCGAATATCGTGCCAACTGAAATATGAGGCAATTGGCACGATATGTCCAAGTTGATCGGCAAAACGAACACGGCTGCTAAAAGTACTAGCCCAGAAAGAAACTTTTGAATGAATCTGCTCAAATCTTTCAATTTTGGATCGGACCGGTCAAATGGTTCTTCATCTAGGAGTTAAAAGCACCAACAAAGACTAGGGGCATTGTCTTGCAATGACTCCAGCACCCTTTTTGAGCAACAATTAAATTCCAAGACGGCAGTGAGTACTGTTTAGTGTTTGGCACTAAATCTTGGCTATGAAGATAATCAGAAGTCAGATCTTTTGCATATTACACCGGTGATTAATGCAATTCATCATACGAAACTAAGTGATTTGTCTATGAAGTGGAATCTCGCACATGTCGTCTCGGCCCACCTTCCAAAACTCATCGTGTAACTTCAGCTACATCCTCAAAGTTTGGAAATGTTAGGCACTCTTTGAGCGCAAACTAGCTGTAGAGTGAATCAGATCATTGTAACTAAGAAAGTAAGCGTTCGACCTCCCAAGAAGATAAGCAAAAGTTTCCGCCGATTTTTGTATGCTGTTTGATCGTGATGGCTCCGGACAGCAATCGGACAACCGTTTACAGCTGTTTTACTCTGCAACGTTGAGAGATTTATTTGCCGTGTAATAAACCGAGCTAGAGACGTCAAAATATTTTTTGATGATTATGGGGCATAGTTTTTGGTGCTACAGATCTAACAGGATGGCCTAGAAACATAAACACAGGGCTCAATCAACATATTTGTTTTACGCTCACCCAAGGACTGAAACTGTTAAAACTGTTAAAACTCTTGAGCACGGACTTGTCGGCAAGTACATTCAACGACACACCAAAATGTCTGGCGCTCAAAAAGAATGTTTTAAAAACCTTATGTTTAGTTCAGTAGGTTTTTTAACATGACGATCAGCCGTAGTACCCTTTCGGTGCCTAGCTGCCATGCCACCCGAAGGAAGCATGACGGGTGGGATACTGCCCAAGCCTAGACGGGGAATTGTGAGGAAGGGGTCGGGTTCGAACCGCGGACCTTCCGGTCAGTAAATTCGCACTCTAACCACTTGAGCCATCTCGCCCCCAGTTTTTAACATATTTTTGGATGGTTTTCTCCTAGTGGAACAGAAAACCATATCACAGTATGCGTAGCCGTGGGTAATCTGTACGTTACAGACTGATTCACGCCAAGACCCTCGGGTAAGCGACCATTTGTGATAAGGGCACCATGAATCAAACTACCGGTCTTCACCCGCCGCAGCTCAAATATGACATCAAAAGTAAGAAGTAAACGAGAATGAAGTTTATGAAAACCGTCAGTCGGATAGTAAACGCTTTTCAGCCTATAATTGTCCTTTTCCAACACAAAATTTCTCAACTGACTGCTAAATTCTTCGGTGACATCTGAATAAGGTCCAACTCACCGTCCCTGAGAACATCACCATCAATTTATGTAAAACGTGTTTGCCATGTGCTCGCTCACCGTTTGACAACAAATGCTGTATTCTGCTCCCTCTACCTAATCAGCGCATACCACACAAGGATTTCGCGGCGGAAGTCCGCGCCAACCTCGATATAGAATTGTTCATCAAGGAGGCCACTCTACTGCTTAATCTCAACTGTTCGACTCTGGATGAAATTTTGGATGCCATATTGAATGCCGTCTTTACGGGTACGTGGAATGCGGACACAATTGGTAACAATACGCCGGAACAGGGTGATGCAGCCGGGTCCCTGGATGTGGATTTGAACGATGGACCGACCACATCGCACACCAACACCATAACCACTGTCCAAGCAAAGACATTGAATGCTTTCAGAAAAATGCAAAAAATTTACAGCTCAGCAATCGATTTGCCGGCTTTATTTGTGGAGGCCAAGAAATCCTTGTTGTTGGATGTCGAATTTGAAGGCGACAGATGTAAGTTTTGGAAATATTGTCCGTATATTCGGTGTGGTGAGACCGCCTATTATTTTTATAAAATTATTTTCGTGCCTCACTGTGAAGCACACTGAAGGGACAAAGGATCAGTTTATATTTCTCTGAGCAATGCACCTTTATGGGAGACGTCCGGAATGCTACTCTGCTCCAGTTGTTTCTATTTGTCTGATTGACTGAAGTTGACTCAGTTATACTGCTTCAGGTATGGATCACTTGAGACAAGATCCGTGCTTACTAAGCATTCATCAAGTCGCAGAGACGTAGGCTTATTAGTGCACCGCTGTTGATGATGGCCATAAAAGGAATCAGAAGGTGTATGCACTAATAAACGTTTTAGCATGGTTGACAGTGGTGGGTTGCAACGCGTATAAAAATAAATACAATGCGAAATGGGAACAAGTCAAAACAGGAACTTATCATCTGTAACAGTTCCTTGATGAAAGTCCAAACGGCGGGAACGCGTTTTTCTCCGCAGTGCGACTGCTACACGTGTTTCATAGTTGTCCGTGGAGTTGTGGAGGCCGGTTGACTTCCTGCTCCCTGCGCGCGCGCGTCTGTGTGCTGACAGTGTTCGGTTTCCCCATATGTAGGTCCGTTTGCGTGTACGTGGGTGTGTCAGCACATGAGTTGTTGCTACGCTCACTAGACGGTACAGACAATCGATGTCCGATGAGTCAGCTTAATGTGACGCGGTTTCTGAGCCTGGAATAAGACAAGTCTCGTGGTCCAGTGAGCGATGTGGACTGAACAGTCCAGTATGTGGGTGACTGGGTCGCTACAGGCTCAAAGTTGTCGATTTCTCTCATATTTCCGCATCACACTTTGACCTATCTGATGAACTCCTCTTTGGTCTTTACCATCTAAGAATTTCGTATAAAATTCGTTCATTTCAAAGTAATTTAATGGAAGTGGTCATACTATTGATGACTCTAACAGATAGTATGTTATCCTCAAATATTTTGCCAAATGGATTTCTAACCATCACAGGGATCTCGTAGAAATGCATTGCATTAGGGTTCCGATGCGTTGCCTGTCACTGGTTGTTTCTGGTTTCAAAGATCACTGTCCGGTTTTCTGGAACGGTATGAATCTCCTGCGTTTTGGCATAAAAATGAAATAACAAGTTGAATATTTTCTACCCACGAATTTCTGTTTACATCTGTACAGTTTTTGTCCTAAATTGATGTTTTTGAACCCATTAATGACGTGAAAAATGATTGTGAACGTCAGATGTTTTATCTAAGGAATAATGCTTTTTTAATTTGACCGCTTGAAATGAATAGCAGTCACTGCCTGTGGTTAGCTCACGTAAACTATACCACTAATTTCATCCAAAAAGTCCGATCCACTGCGTGGCAAACCTGGTTCTCTGTGATGGCTTATCAATGATAATCTTTAGTTTGTCTTCCCGTTGAAGAGAACATGCCAAAATCCGGTCATGTGAAGCAGTGAAATGCGTCATTAAAGCACCAATTTCGTGAACTTTTACTTGAAGTACGCATACGCTCAAAGAAATTGATTTGGCGGAAAACTTGTTAGCAAAATTGCGATTTTGATATTTTTTCGACTAGCTATTAAACACTAGGGAGATAACGCTAAACCGATCAAAACGACGTAAATACCTTAAAGGCAAAACAAGCGATACTGCAGGCTTTGCAAGTGCAGAGTGTATCATGCATCATCGGTCAGTTGACCGATGAACTTCGGGTTGCCTGTTCTACCGGAGCGCCAGTGTGACGGCGGTGTACTGTTCTTTTGACTGCAGTTTGTAATAGCAAGGTTTTCCCACACACAGGTTTATCTCACCCGCCCCTCAAATATACCTTGACCCGACACCAAAAAACACTACGAGGTTCCACTTGGGTGTGGGAAGAATTTTCACTTTCAGTTCTAAAAGTGAACTGATTAGAGGGATGTGCTTGGTTGAAGTTGGTAAGGAGAGCATCCATTTCGGTACGGTTTGATACTACCATAAAAATATCACCTACGTACCTTCGATATGAGTGTGTACGTTTAATCTCCCCATTCAATCTACCAAGCTCCAGTTTGCCCATAAAAATGCCACTCAACAAAGGGTCGAGAGGAGAACCCATGGCGACTCCACCGATTTGTCGGTAAAGTGTGGAGTTAAATCGGAATTGTACGTTGAAGATAAAGTGAAAGAGTAGTTCCTTAAATGGGATGGTGGGGATTGGGAGTGTCAAATCTGATGAGTCAAAGTAATCACAGATAAAATCGATGGTTTCCAGGAGCGAGATGTTGGTAAAAATGGAAGTTACGCCAAAGGAGCACATAAATTTGGAACCAATATCCACATCTTTTATCAGGTCCACAAACTCAAATGTGTCACTGAAACTATTCCAGCATAAATGCAGGTATACGGATTCTAAAATCTTGACCAACAATTGGGCAATTGCGTGATATAGGGGGTTACGCACATCCAAAATCGGCCTCAATGGAACATCTTTCTTATGAACCTTAGGCAGTCCATAAATGAATTTATCGCTCACTCTCACTTTCTGAGAATATGCTAGCAAAGCCTATCTTTCACATTCTATGTTCAAATTACGTGAATGCTTCATGTCGTACGTAGAAAAATGAGTGAAAACCGGGAAATTTGCGACTATTCGGTTAGCCAAATAGGAAATAAACCTGAGTGGCTTTTAGCTCACGCAAAATCATATGAGCCAGAGGTGCGCAGCCTCTGCACCCGTCCATTTGTATCTATTTCAAACGTAGTCAAATCCCGCAAACTATTGCGCGATATTGCCGTTTGTGGTCTCCACGTAAATAACAAGAACATTGATTCTGAATGGATTAGCGAGCGCAGCGCCAACACGAAAACATGTTCAGTCCATTAGGGCCATTTCCGTTTCGTCAATGTGACCCTAATAACTACACACGTACATACAGAGTAACATCAGTCCAACTCGGCTTGCTCTAGAATCCACACTGACAGGGAGATCTTTGTGGACGGGTTTTGACCAAGTCAAACGAGAATAACCACACGCCTGAAAGGTAAAACCACATTGACCCATTTTAGGACCATTTTTCAATGTTAATTTTGATCGGCTAATTAACGCCGAACGTAAACGCAGTCACTGGGTTCCTGGTTAAGATCTAAATATTTTCACGGCCACAAGCTTTTATCCAAAGACGTTAAATATTTACTCAAAAGCACTTTGGAAGTTTCTTGAATGACTAAACATTGAGATTAGCTGTGCACGTGTAGCCAACCAGCCGGAGCTGCTGAATTCATGCTCCAAAATAACGGAAATATCATGATGAACCAAAGCTTTCCAAAAAGGTTCAAGGTCGACTAGAATTTGTATATCCAGTGTGAGAGAAGCGATTAACTTTCATCGACAAATTGACAGCTGAATGTCAGCTTCGCGCCTACTCAGTTTTATCCAACGTGTAGGTGAGTCGAAAATAGAGAGAACATTTTGGAGGTCGTCACTGAATTCCTATAGATAAACGCCTGTTCAAGACATAAAATCCATATCTGCACCAGTGAAAGTAAGAAAGCCTTCGCTGCGTAGCTACTTATTAGAAAACGCCAACTGACCAATTACAGACTATTGGACAGGGAAGCAAAACTCTCATATGCGTCTTGTTTACAAAAACTGAATATCCATTTTCTTGAACGCGTCTTCCTGAACTCTCCTGGATATTCATTGACTGTCGCTCAAACGCAAGCAAATGCGACTCCACAAGTTCCGTAATAGATCTCACTTTTCAAGAGATGCAAAGCGGATTTACGAGAAAACATAATACTCGCATGCCCCCAGCAGTAGTATTACCGTTAAACCAGTAGTGTTGACTGTGATTTGCACGCCCTGCTGAAAGACGTAAAGAGCTATTCACCGGGGATGCTGATGAGATTCTTTACATCCGTTCAGCTCAAACGTGGAGGCGATTCGAGACACAAATCTCTTCGGACAACGAGTGGCTTGCGCTCTTGAAGAATAGTCTCCCACTTTGTCAACTTCTTTGACTTAGAAAAGATGGTGCTTGAAATTACCTGGGTGTGAGGTTATATTTACCTTCTAAAGAGAAAGAAAAATATTTAACGTGAATATTTTTCTAGAGGTTGCAGTGTTTTCCACAAACATGTCTATATTACAATAGAGTCCACTTGGGACACACGTCTTTGGAGCTTCATGTGCTCTTGTCAATCCTGAGAGAAAACCGTGAATAAACGTTTAACCACTCTGACTTCAGTCAGCTGAAGGGCCTCAGACATCATCTACAGGATCCGCATTTTTTGGTCTGCCACTGAGGATCGATAATATGATCTTTACTTTGCTTCACCGCAATTTATTGTTCTCAGTCTGCTTCAGCTGACTTGTGCAAACGTGGAGACATTCAGCCTTCACTGCGCCATAATATGCTCCTCAGCATATCTTATTTTATACACTAACGGCCTATTGTAGTATTCACAGATAAAATAGCCTTTGAATCTCTATGAGAAATACAGACGACATTTCCGCATTTTGCAAAGCCTCAAACAGCATGTACACAGTCCAGAGGACTGCAAATAGCCACATGAATATAATTGTTTGTGGCTTTTAGTGTGCTCAACATTCCTTTTGCCATAGGATTATGCAAAGCGACTCGACAAGGCAATCAGTTATGCGCTCTACTGTTGCGCTTATTTGAGTAAGGAATCACCTAATTACTAGATGGTTTGGAATAATGCTTGAACGTTGGGAGACATGGACACATTCGCGTAGCTTGTTCGCAACGCTGGCACCCAAAACCAAACTGCTTATTTAATCACTTCTAGAGAATCCAGTGAGTGTACAGTTGTGTGTTCCCTCCCTTGATTCATCTTACGGTAGCAAAACTGTGCCGCATAGATGATTGTCCAAACGTCAAAAACAAACGGTTTCACACTGTGAACAAAAGCTCCTGTAAATTTGCAGCAGCTATAGATTGGTTTTTGGTCTGTTCGTCAAACTTGGATTGCAAAGGTT